AAGTTATGAGATTGACTCTTTTGCTGAAATCAGAAGAGTTGTTCAATCATACATTGATGCTAGACAAGAATACTGTCGTGACATTTTGGGTGTAAAGACAGGTAAGAGACATGCTACTGGTGTTACTTTATATGCTGATAGAGCTCTCGCTAAGGGTGATTCTCTTGGTTTCTTACGTGCTAGATTACTTGCCATTCGTGACCAAGACAGAATTGAAAGAACAATAACAAATCTTCACTCTGGTAACACTCTCACTAAGTCTCAAAAGGCTAAACGAAGTGAAAGATCAGGAAGACGTAGATACGAAGGTCAAAAGCTTGATAATACTATGAAAGTTTTCATGTGGGTAAAGAAGTACAGAAACAGAATTTTGAAATAAATTATATCAATAAATATTGGTTATTAAAATAATATTTCACAATATTCCATTATTGGAAAATGAATTGTGAAATTAAGGTGTACGTCAAAACCTTAGTTTTCCATTTTGTTTTAAGATAATTTAATTCGTCTTAAATAACAAAATAATACATTATAGAATTAATGTTAGTAAACTCAATAAAGATTTATAATAATTTATAGTAACATCATGATTATTGAAGATAATTGGTGATCTTCATCTTCAAGAACATGATCAAAGTGTTATAAGCAATAATGATGAGGAAAATTCCCAATCCGAGGAAAATGTATCGGGAGCGAGTTGTTGTTGATGGATCAGCTGCCCAATTCAATGAAATAAATCCAAGTCCTCCTATTGTGAATAAGAAACCAGCACTGAATCCTTCAATCACGTATTGAGCGTTTAATCTATATTCAAGAACTGCTACTGGTCTAACTCTTCCGTCAGCATCTCTTCTACTACCAATAGATGGAGGTTCATTGATCATATCGTAAACAATACCGGAACAAATAACAAAGTATGAAGCAAGAAGAAGAACAAAGACGAGCATCTTTGGAAGACCCTTTTCAAAGATACTTGGTAATTTAAGTTTGATATCAGGTGCTCTGAGAGCAGAAGTGTAGATGGCTTTAAAGATTGGGAAGAGTGGATCCATTTTTTAAAAATTTTATTCTTTTTTAATAAATATTAATTTATTATTCAAGTGGTGATGATCTAC